GGTCTCTAAATTCAGGTGAATTTAGAATCTATTTAAATCTCTAAATTTAGAATCTATTCTAAATTCTAATATAATCTAGGTCATAGTTTGGCTCTCTTGGATTTGTTTTAATTTGCTTCAGTTTAAAGTTACAAATGAGCAGTGGATGATCTTTTCCACAGACAGCTCCTGGCCTTATTCTGACTGATGATATTGAGCTCTTCCATTACCTCTTTCCACAGATGCAGTTGATTTCATTCCTATGTATATCATCTGGTGAGGTCCACGTGTTTAGTCATCATTTATGTTGTTGTAAAAAAATATTTGCAATGAATAAATTGTTGGTCTTGCAAAATTCTATCATGTAGACTCTGGCATCAATTTTCTCACAAAGATATTTTCTCCCTACTGATGCTTCTTTGTTTCCAAGTTTTGTATTCCAATTACTACTAATAATCAATACATCTTGATTTCATATTTGGTCAATTTCAGACTGCAGAAGTTGGTAAAAATCTTCAATTTCTTCATCTTTTGCTTTGGTGATTGGTGCTTCAGTCTGAATAGTAGTGGTATTAACTGGTCTTCCTTGTAGGCGTGTGGATATTATCCTATCAGTGACAGGATTGTTCTTTAGGGTAGAATTTGAAATGTTCTTTTTGATGATTAATGTGGCATCATTCCTCTTCAATTTTTCATTCCCAGCATAGTAGACCATAAGATTGTCTGATTCAAAATGGCCTATACCAGTCCATTTTAGCTAAACCCTAAGATATCAATCTTTATACGTGCCATTTTATATTGACAACTTCTAATTTTACCTAGGGTTATACTTCATATGATTATTAATATGTGTTTACAACTATTTCTTCTCATTTTGAGTTGTGCCACATCAACAAATGAAGTTCCAGAAAGTTTTACTCCATCCATGTCATTCGGGTTGACTACTCTGAGGAGGCCCCACTTCCCCAGTATTTTGAGTGCCTTCTAACCTGAGGAGCTCATCTTTCGGGACTATATCAGACAGTGTTTCACTGCTATTTATAAAGGTTTTCACTGGCCAGTTTTTTCAGAAGTGGGTACTCTGTCCTTGTTTTCAGGGTCACTTAGTCTGGAAGTTCCACTGAAACCTGTCCACTGTAGGTGACCCTGCTAATATTTGAAATACCAGTGGCATAGTTTCCAGCCTCACAGTAACACACAAGCCACCACAGTGTGAGAAACTGACAGATGAGCAGTTGGGGTTGGGATTATAAATTTAAATTTCTAATAATCCCAGTTATTAATTTAAATTTGTGTTTAATAATCCCAAACTCCACTGTGGTAGAGTCAATTCTGACTCAGTGACCCTATACGACAGAGTAGAACTGCCCTGCAGGGTTTCCAAGGCTGTAAATCTTTACAGAAGCGGACTGCCTCATCTTTCTCCTGTAGAGCAGCTGCTGGGTTTGAACCTCTGATCTTTTGGTTAGCAGCCAAGCGTTTTAACCTCCTTAAGTTTTTAATGGCTAATATTTATTGAATATTCTGCATACATCACTTAAAGCACTCACCAAATTTATGAAATTAGGATTGTTACTAACTTGCAGTTTCCAATGAGGAAAGCTAAGGGAAAGTCAAGAACTTGTTCACATCATACGTTGGCTTAATTTGCTGCTTTCTGACCCTGTTGTTCATTACTTAGCCATACAGTGTACTGCTTTGCTGAAAGAGCTGGGCCTGAAAAATGTGTCATTTCTTAATGCAGTAAATTAACATTGACTATAATTTAATTTGCTTATGTGATTGTGATCTAAGAATAAAACTGCTTTTGATAGATTTGAGCTTCTCCAGTCTGCCCCCTTTTTAATCAAAGACCAGAATTTAAGAGCCTTTTACAGAAATGATTAATACTATGCTATAAGAAAAATTATTTGAATGTCTGTGGGTAGGCAGAGCAGCATCACTCTTGTAGTAATTTTCTTTTATAAGTAGATCTTAAATTAGAAACATACAGGAAGATATTTTATCTATTCTGAAGTGAGTAAGAGTATTGCAGCATGGTCTTCAGAGTTGAAATGATAGAATTTATATTTTCCTTTTAATACTTGCTTGCTATTTGTCTGGGCTTTTGAGTCTGCTTTCTCATTTTAAAAATAGAATAATACTTACCTCCTTTGATAGTATGAGGCTTAGAGATGATAAACTCTCAATCACAGTGCACAGTGTCATGTCTTCGTTACTATTAGCTATCTTTGAGTCACCTTTGAATCATGGCAGCCTCACCCAAAATGGAACTAAATGCTGCTCAGTCCTGTTCCATGACCAGGGTAAGTTGCACATTGGACCATTGTTATCCATAGAGTTTTCATTGGCTGATCTTTCAAAAATAGATTGCTAGGCTTTTCTTCCAGATCTCTCTTAGTCTGGAGACTCTGCTGTAACCTTTTCAACCTCATAGCAGCACTTACACCTCTACTGACAGGTGGGTGATGGCTGTGCATAAGGCACACTGGCCAGGAAGCAAACCTAGGTCTCCTACATAGAACCTGAGAATTCTACCACCGAGCCCCTATAAATGGCAGGTGACTGTTTAGCTTCTTTGCCAGTTCAGACAACTACATTCGAGAAGCTTGGGTAGCCTGAGAGGTTGTTAATATGTTTCTCCACCCCCACCCCCACCCCGGTTACCTTATTTCCCAACTGGAAAATCATTCCTTCAGTTAAATTTTAGAAGCATTTCTTACATGTACATTTTCAGGATGATTTACTATTAGCATTAGGAAAGACAAAGGTTCATAGAAATCCACTGTCCTTATTTTGAATGAACATATTGCCTGATAGCAGGAAAATGGAACTTTCCCAGGTAATCTAGAGTATGTGTCTTACTATGAACATGAGGCTCTGAGTATCATCTTGGGTGTGGAGGAGCCTCCCTGCATTCTTCCTAAATCTTCTTGTTCTCCAGTCAATCCAGGGATCAGTATATTGTCTAGACTGTGGTTGGGTGAATTCCTGTAAGTGAAGATGGAGAATCCATGCAGTGAAATTAAGCATTGCCTCCTTCTTCCCTTGAAGTAGTAAAAGAGAAGAGTAGTAACTGAGGTGTTTGGTATAGCCAGTGCTCATAGGTCTTGGGTAGTGTTTCTGTTAAATCACAGTGTGTACCAATACAGACAAAGGTTCTCTGGTTACCTGCATTACTAACTTAAATATTGAACAAATCTAAATGACAAGAGACCCTGGCATATATCGGAGTTTGTGCTAGGTGATATTGGGAATACTAAGTTGAATGGCAAGCTCCTTGTCCTCAAGGAATTTAGAATTAATTTGGGACAGCTTTGCCAGTCCATACCCAAGCATTTGATCCACCCCTTCCTGTGGAAACTTGCCTTGCTATCACACTGCTCCCAAGACTTTTGTGCTTATTCCCTGAATTTTTGAATTCTTTCTTGAAGCCAAAATTTACAAAAATATTTACGCTGGATTAGATTGTAAGAGGGATCAAATCTTTGTATCTGTGCTTCTGTATTGAGGCCTAATACTGTTCACTCACTATTACATAGAAAGCTCCAAAGAAGGATTGTGCTGCTGCTGCTACCAGGGTTGGAGCTAGGCTCCACTTTGTTCTCTTATACCACAAATGTCACTCCTTCTGTGTCTGACACATATTTATAAAAGTGTTACTTGCTCTGTGCATTTAATAAAGAGAGAGATTTTGTTTAAACACATTGGTCATTACAAGTGGCATGATGATAACAAACATGTACTCAAAGAATCTGTAAGTTGCAAAATACTTTCATATTTTTTTTAGTACCTTACAGATTGCTTGAGGTATTTGAAAACCAGGAAAATAACAAAAAGGGATTCTATAAAGTTACTTAAGAGCATAGCTTGTAGTTTCATTTACAGATCTCATACTCTAAATAATTAATTGAATAAAACATCACAAAACATACATTTTCTATGTATGAATCCTATAATTTTTTTTCAGGGTACTTTAACATACTATAGGACTAGTGTTGGACTAGAATTATGAAAATGGGCAAAGTTTTTAATTTATGTCTTTTTCTTTCCATGTTCTTTCTTTATCCTTATTGCCTCCTTTATTCTCTAGTGTCCACTGTCTTCTGGCTTCAAAATTTCCGTTAAGGATTAAATTAAAAGTGTTATATCTCCCATTCATATTTGCTTAGTAGACACAGTACTCACATGTGACAAAGTGACATGGGCCTCAGATACAAGTTATTATTTAGTTGGGTATCTGTCCCTTGTAAGGACTATAGTGCAAAATGAGGATAGCATTCCCTCTCTGACTGCATATTCAATTATTTTTTCTTTATTTTCATTTTCTAAAAATATTTTGTGATTTATAGGACATATCATGGTATATCAGAATAGGGGTTTTGGAGTATGACTTGGGTTCATACTCAGATATATATACCCTCCCTGAATCTGTTTCTTCACTTATGAAGTATGATTGTTAGAGTTGTTATGATGGAAACAATGCCATAAACTGTAAGTGTATAAATAAGTGCCGTAACTTATAGTGTATAAACTGCAGGTGCATGGTAGATGCAACATAAGGTAGTGATTGTAATTAATAAACATTCTAGGATTTCCACAGAGAAATAAAGCAATCTGGAAAAAAAAAATCTTCTACTTAGTAGCAAGTTTTTTAAATGTTTGTAACAGATGTCAGTTGTGTCAATAAGTTAATTGGGGGTATAACATGTTTATAAGCAAGCCAGATAGGAAATGTATCATAATTTATATTCTCAAACAGATAAATTTGATACAAATAGTAACATTGTGATAAACTTACTTTAAGTTAAAAAATAGAAGGTTTATTGAACACATTTTTGCCTAAATACTTTTGAGGAATGACTTAAGTTCTCAAAACACAGTACTTAAAAGATGATTCAGGAATAGATCTGTTATGCAAACTGAAGTGTAATCTTGTGAGCCAGGACTTTACTCCTATGCTATGTCCTCTTGTGTTTCCATGTTGCACAGAGTTCTATAATTCTATTTTTCACCCACAGATTTACCACTAAAGAGACATAGAGATTATGAGCTGGTGACTCCAGTCAGCACAAATCTAGAAGGACACTATCTCTCCCATATTCTTTCTGCAAATCACAAAAAGAGATCAACAAGGGACGTGTCTTCCAACCCTGAGCAGTTGTTCTTTAACATCACAGCATTTGGAAGAGATTTTCATCTCCGCCTAAAGCCCAACAATCAACTAGTAGCTCCTGGGGCTGTTGTGGAATGGCATGAGACACCTCTAGTACCTGGGAATATAACTGACCCCATTAATGATCATCAACCAGGAAGTGCTTCAGAAAGGATTTGGAAAACAGAGCCTTTGCAGACTAACTGTGCTTACGTTGGTGACATCATGGACATTCCAGGAACCTCTGTTGCCATTAGCAACTGTGATGGCCTGGTAAGACTCATTCCCTTTTGTGTGTGTATGTGTGTGTAGGTGTTAGGAGTGCTGCATGACTTTAGCATGGTTTGGAAGGTAGAGGTGGAAAGGAAGCCTCATGATTATATTTTAAGCTCAGGAAAAAACATTAGAAAGTCTGACTTTTTGTCAAAGATGTGTTCTTTGGCTTCATGTATGACATGAAGACAACATTATTCCATGAAACAAAAGAAAACTGTTGCAGCATTTCTTTATGTTTTCTCTTGTGTTACATTGGGGAATTTTTTTTTTCCTAATACTTGTTCATTCCAGACATTGAAAATCTGTGATTATGCTAATGATTTCTTTCAAAGCTTTCCGAAAACTTTCTAAAGAAACATAGGCTCCTCCAAAATGATAATATTTCATTTCTTGTGTGGAAACTTTGGATATCGTCTTAAAGAAAGTATTTTGAAAGCATTCTTTAGCTTCCCTACAGAATGCTAAAGTGGGAAATGAGCCGATCCTCCAACAGAACCTGTCTAAATAACATTAGCTTTTGAACATGAGATGCAGTTTTCTCTGTATGGTGGCTTTGAATCCCTTTTTTCTTTATTTTCAAATAAAATACACATAATGCTTTTCAGTTTTGTGGTTGAGGCAAATAGTAATTGACCTTTCTTTATGTACTCTGCAGATGTGAAATATTTTTATTTGGTTTGTATCTCCAGATGTTATTTGAAAACTGTGTCAGTGTTTATGGCTCTTCTATTCACAGTTGACTTCAAGTCTTTGTCCAAAAAGGGCAACCATTTTTTCTTTCTGTGGTTGCCAGGCTGCTGTTTCTTGGGAGTTTAGAGTCATTCCTTTTCTTTTCTCACTGTTTCTGTGAGTTCTCAAAATACTCCTCAAATTCCTGCTTCTAGTTATGCTTCTTTATATGGTCCTTCAATGATCTCTTGACTATTTTGTTATTGTCTACTTTATACACAGGCCCAATCAATGGAGTTAAGTATGTTTTAGCAGATACTGGTGAATTCATTGTGTTTTGGGCTTTGTTTGTATGGTCTTTTATTGCCTCTTAATGTTCTGTAGGGTTCTTAAAACCACTACAGAGAACTATATAGCACATCTGTAGCAGGTCCAACTTAGACTCCTTTAGTTCTGAATCTATAAACTCTGGTGCTGAACTGTCTTCTAGGGTTTAAAAATATAAGGATCTCTCAAATTCTTCCCATTCTACATAAAACACTGAATTGGTCTGAATTAAATAAGTCATTGCATTAAAAAAAGAAAAAAGAGATTTTCTAGAAAAAAGAGACTTATATATTGACTGAGAGAGGTTTGATTCAATGCCATTACAATATAAAAATAAATATATAAAATGATAGTTTTATAATCCTTATGAGTAAAATATCTTGAGTATAAATCATGATTCAGCATTATTTTTCAGTTTTATAAACCAAACCAAACACACTGCCATCGAATCAGATTCAACTCATAGCGACCCCTCCTTGGGTTTCTGAGGTGGTATCACTATGGAAGTAGATTGGCCTATCTTCCTTCTGAGGAGTGGCTGGTGGGTTTGAACTGCCAGCCTTCTGATTAGCAGTCAAATGCCTTAGGAACTATGCTACCAGAGCTCTATAGCATAAAATTATGTACTGTTTATATTTTATTTTACCATATAAAAATAAATTTAAGGAAGGAAAAAGACAAGGAAATTCATGGAGTAGCACAGTGATTTATAAACTTGACTTAGCAATCAATGTTTTCTTATTGTACATGTCAAGTTATCTGAGGCAATAGCAAATTGTTATAAGGAAGAGGAAAATAGGTAGAAAATATGAATGCACATTAGTTATTAAGATTATTTAATTTCTCATTTCAAGGTATGGTATTATTAATATCATACATCTGTATCATTTAGATACATGTGTACGTGTGCATATGTACAAAAAAAACTCACTGCCATCAAGTTGGATCCTACTCATAGTGACCCCTCCTTGAGTTTCCGAGGTGGTATCATGACGGAAGTAGATGGCCCAACCTTCCTTCTGAGGAATATCTGGTGGGTTTGAACCTCCAGCCTTCTGGTTAGCAGTCAGATGCCTTAGGCACTATACCACCAGAGCTCCCATATGTTTTATACACACACACACACACACACACACACAACTTGTTCACTACAATTATTCATTTGCTCTATCCTTTCATTCATTTGTTGTTGTTGTTATGTGCCGTGGAGTTGGACCTGACTCATAGCGACCCCTCCTTTGGTTTCCTAGTGGTATCACTATGGAAGTAGATTGCCCCATCTTCCTTCCGAGGAGTGGCTGGTGGGTTTGAACTGCCAGCCTTCTGGTTAGCAGTCAAGTGCCTTAGGCATTGCTCTAGCAGAGCTTCTTTTCATCCATTAGTTAATTAAAAATATTTGCAGAGGCACTGGATGGTGCCATTCTTACCATTACTGAACATTTTGATAAAAATATTCCTATGAAAAGGGGGAAAATGCAGAACCAAATTTTAAATTCTCAACTGAATCTAGACTTTCCAGAGCCACTGAGGCTGCATGTATTCTCAGAACTCTTGTCCTGTGATAATCTTTAATCTTTAGACTTCAACTAAAATTATCCTCTGAAGCTTCTTTGCACCACAAAATGGCTTATTTTCATTAGTAACTATGTCTGCTCTGAGCATTGGGCTCTTTTAAAGAATTATCTTTGTGAGATCACATTGACAGTGGCAACTTGAAGAGTTGGATGGGAAGCTGGGGCAGTGAGTTTAAGATAATGGTGGTGGATTAATGTGGAAAAGGATACCAAGAATGGTATTACAGTTGAAGAACGTAACTAATGTCACTGAATTGCACATGTAGAAATTGTCAAAAACTGTATGTATTTGATTTTGTATACTACCTCAAATAAAAAAATTAAAAAATGTGTTTATAGGAAAGGAATTGTGGGTCAAACATTATTCCAACACTATGAAATGGTTAAAAAAAAAAAAGGTTTTTATCTTTGTGGAGCTCAAAGATGTTAAGTCTGCCATAGAATTTATGTGTCATTACCTGTATGTATTACAGAATATATGCATAAGGTATATCACTTAACCACAATTTTTAAGTTATAGATATGTGTCATATCTATATGATATGTGTGTGTGTGTATATATATATGATATATGTACATACATATACATACACATTTGTTGTTGTGTGCCATCAAGTTAATTCTGACTCATAGTGACTCTATATGACAGAGTAAAAATGCCCCATCAGCTTTCCTAAATTATCAATCTTCATGGGAGAAGATCACTAGGTCTTTTCTCCCATGGAAGCACTGGGTGGATTTGAACTGTGACCTTTCAATTAGTAGTTGCACTTACAACCGTTGTTATATATATGTATATACTTATTGTCATTGAGTTGTTTCTGACTGAGTGACCCCCTTTGGGTTTCTGAGGTGGTATCTCCATGGAAGTAGACTGCCCAGTCTTCCTTCCAAGGAGTGGCTGGTGAGTTTGAACCTCCAGCCTTCCAGTTAGCAGTCCAATGTCTTAGGCACTATACCACCAGAGCTCCCTTTACCTTACTATAGATGGATTTAAGTGTGACATTCTTGTCCTCTGGGATACCCAGATAACATTGACTCCTTAGGATTAACCTGATGGGATATAAAGCTCTGGGAGACTTTGATTATAATGAAATCCAAGTTGGCCTAGCAGAGAATACAGCCACTAAAATACCGATGGGAAAATCCCTGCCTGGCAAACAAGCAGTTACTCATGATGTGGAAGAGAATTCCATTGAAGCCTTACTTGGATGAGAAGTTTAAAAATTTTTGATTTGGTTACTATAAGATTGATACAGAAGGGAATCCAGTAATCTGATTTCTACATGCCTCCTTTGAAGCAGTTACCCATAGGGAGTTGCCACAGGTATTTATTGTTTGCCAGTGTTGGAGGTTTTAAAGCAAGAGTGTCTCCTTACCTTTTTTTCTCTAATGCTGCTTTGTAGGGTGCTCTGTGAGTTTGAAATTGTCAGAACATCCAATTGACAGAACTAATGTATGTTTATAGAATCCTATAAACTGTGCTACTCAAAGCATATGGGAGCTCTGGTAGCATAGTGCCTAAGGCACTTGACTGCTAACCAGAAGGCTGGCGGTTCAAATCCACCAGCCACTCCTCAGAAGGAAGATGGGGCAATCTACTTCCGTAGTGATACTGCCTCAGAAACCCAAAGAGGGGTCACTATGAGTTGGGTCCAACTCGACGGCACATAACAGCAACAAAAACATCCTGTTTGGGGTTTGTTGAACTTCCTGAATGCATGTATTCTCATCTTTCATCATATCAGAAAATTCTCTTTCAACAAATCTTGGGCAGTTTTCTCAGTCGTTTTCTTTTTCTCTTCTTGCTCTGGAATTCCCATTCTGGAATTCTGAATTGTTGTTAGGTGCTGTCAAGTCATCTCTGACTCATAGTGACTGTATGCACAGCAGAATGAAACATCGCTTGGTCCCGTGCCAGCTGCATGGATCCCTGCTATACTTGAGCCCATCACCACAGCCACTGTGTCAATCCATCTTCTTTCCCTTCTTTCATTAGCCCTCCACTTTTCCAAGCATGACATCCTTCTCCAGTGAATGGTCCCTTCTGATAACATGATCAAAGTAGGTGAGAGGAAGTCTGGCCATTCTCTCTTCCAATGAGCATTCCAGCTGCACTTCCTCCAGGACAGATTTGTTAGTTCTTTTAGTGGTCTGTGGTACTCTCAGCATTCTTCACCAGCACCACAACTCAAAAGCAATTCTTCTTCTGTTTTCCTTATTCATTGTTCATCTCTCACATGCATATGAGGTGACTGAAAATATGATGGTTTGTGTCAGGCACCCCTTAGTCCTCAAGGAGACATCTTCATTCCTCATCACTTGAAAGAGGACCTTTGTAGCCAGTTATCCCAGTGCTATACATTGTCTTATGTCCTGACTGCTGCTTCCATTGGCGTCAACTGTAGAAGCAAGCGATGTGAAGTC